GCAACCTCCGCCTCCTGGGTTCAGGCAATTCTCCTGCCTCAGCCTCCTGAGTAGCTGGGATTACAGGCACGCGCCACCATGCCCAGCTAATTTCTTGTACTTTTAGTAGAGACGGGGTTTCACCATGTTGACCAGGATGGTCTCGATCTCTTGACCTCGTGATCCACCCGCCTCAGCCTCCCAAAGTGCTGGGATTACAGGCGTGAGCCACCGTGCCCGGCCAATCAGGAAGATTTTTATAATATTTGATTATTAGACTTGTATGTATTGATTATTAAAATTTATTCTCTACCAAAAGAGATAATAGTGTATAAAAATTGCAATTACAAATAATTTAAATCTTTATTGTAATCACTTTCAAAAATTCCACAGGTAAATGAATTCAAAAGATCAAGTGACAACTCAGTTCTTGTCTCAATCATTCTTAAGATCTCCCAAATAGTTGTACCCAAAAATTTTTTTCTCTCTTTTTTCCCTCCTGATACATATATCTTTAAAATCCCTTGATTCCATTCCTCCAAAATAGTGCCTCTCACTCTCATTTGCCCTCCGGCCTTGTGTTTTTCTCCAGCTGAAAATTAAGGTTTCCAATTTTTCCTGATTTGCCAGTGGTACTTGCTTTTTCACTTAATCACTATTTCATCTATTGTTCTTGATAAATTTATTCCGCCCTCCAACTCTGTGCCCTCTGTCCCCAACATAATGAGACATTCTGTCAATGTGACCTGAGGGAAGCTAATGCAATCATTGGTCAGAGAAATATTAAACATTCATAAACTATTATTTATTTCATGGGACAATGTAGTATTTTATAAAAACTAGAATACTATACAAAAGTTTTTACCTTATTTTTTAAAATCTTTACCATGATATAAAGCTTAGTGGAAACTTTCTAACAATTTTGTGGAGTTTGTTGGGTTACAAATTTTAAAATAATTAGATGGTCTCCACAGCATTATCTATCTTAGACATTTTATTTTCTAGGTTAGTAAATGATATATGATTAAGCAAATAAAATTTATCTGTGTATCTTTCTCTTTTGTCATTCATCACCATTTTGCACTTAACTGTACAACTATATTTTTCATCAAATATGCTTTGAGCACATATCATGCCAGACAGCAAAGCATCTGAGAATAAAAATATTACAAAGGTGGGCTTATCACAGGAAGTAATCTTGAGCTGAATTTTCAAGGAGAGATGGAAATTTATCTGTTAGGAAAAATGAATAAAGAAAAACCGCGTATATCAGGCAGACAGAATGGCATATGAGTATGGACTCTATGCTGAAAGCGTATGTGAACGATGAGTGAGTCAGTGTACTTAAATCTGTCATTGTTTCAATATATAAGATTATGTAATTGTCTGCATATAGATGTGGATATAGATACAGATACATATAGGTTACACATTTGAATATACATAATGGTTGATATGGTTTAGCTGTGTCCCCACCCAAATCTCATCTTGAATTGTAGCTCCCATAATCCCTACCTGTTGTGCAAGGGACACAGTGGGAGGTACTGGATCATGGCAGGGGGTGACAGGTTTTTCTCATGCTGTTCTTGTGATAGTAAATAAGTTTCCTGAGATCTGATGATTTTATAAAGGGGAGTTCCCCTGCACACATTCTTGCCTGCCACCATGTAAGACGTGGCTTTACTGCTTCTTTGCCTTCCACCAAGATTGTGAGGCCTCCCCAGCCATGTGGAACCATGATACCATTAAACCTATTTTTCTTTATAAATTACCTAGTCTTGGGTATGTCTTACTAACAGCATGAGAATGGACAAAAACAGTGGTGCACTTATTTATTTATGTATTAACATAAACCACTGCTTCTTTGTCACTGTTAGTAATTTGTTTTAGTGGATTTTTCTCCAGTTCCTTAAAAATTTAATTTACAGTATAGAAAAATAGGTAGTAAGAATGAAGAGACATGCTGGGAATTCTGTTTCAAGAGGGCAAAATTATACTTCTCTTGCTGGCTTATATGATGAGTTCAAGCAGTCAAGCTCCATCTGGTCCCTTCAAAGACAGCCAGCTTACACAAAAGCCATCCCAGGCAGGTACTAATACTTCTAAAACTTCCCCAGGGCATTGTCAGTTTTTGTCTTGAATTTTTGCCTCCTCCCTCAGCACTGAATAGTTCTGATCCTCACCTTGGCCTCAGTCCTGTTTGCAGGTAAGACTCCTTGTGCCCTGCTTTGGTGAGCCCTTAAAGACCTGATTGGAACAGGCCAGGTCTGTACTTTCCCAAGCCTGAGCAATCATGGGAGGAAACCAAAGAGAGAAGAAACCAGGGAAAAAGTGTTTTATTTATGTTGTATGTTCAGAAAATATAGAATTG